AAAAAAAAACTATGTTATGCAGAAAATAAACTGAACAACTTTTGCCTTGGGGTCACATCGACATTCTTTCTAAATTTTAAAATAACAAATAAACAAAATTCTTTATAAAATTTAAATTTTAAAATAAAAAATAAAACTATGTTATACAGAAAAATAAAATGAACAACTTTTTGCCTTGGCCTTGCTACTGTTTCCTTCCCAGTGTGAGTGTGTGTGTGTGTGTGCATGGGTGTCGGTGTGTGTTTGTGTGTGTAGAGAGTGCATGTCTGTGTGTTTCCCCAGTGGGAAGGAATCCGTATCTGAATTTTCCCTGGGGAAACACACACAGATGTCTATGTGTAGAGAGTGCATCTGTGTGTGTTTCAGGCTGGTCTGAGCAAAAATACAAACAGGGAGATGTCTGTGTGTGTAGAGAGTGCATCTGTGTGTGTTTCCCCAGGGAAAATTTTTTAGGCTGAAACACACACAGATGCGCTTTCTACACACACACAGATGCACTCTCTACACACACAAACACAGGCTGTTCTGAGCAAAAACATTCACACACAGATGCACTCTCTACACACACAGACATCTACCTGTCTGTGTGTGATGAGAGTGTGTGTGTGTAGAGAGTGCATCTCTACTTTTTCCCTGGGAGAGAGATGTCTGTGTGTGCCAGGGAAAAAGTAGAGATGCACTCTCTACACACACAGACATCTCCCAGGGAAAAAGTAGAGATGCACTCTCTACACACACACAGACAGGGAGATGTCTGTGTGTGTAGAGAGTGCATCTGTGTGTGAATGGTTTTGCTCAGAACAGCCTGCGTTTGTGTGTGTAGAGAGTGCATCTGTGTGTTTTTCCCTGGGGAAACACACATGTCGGGAAGGATCACCATCACACCTCCCCCACCGTATCTGATTTTTTTTTTTGTTTTTGCTCAGAACAGCCTGAATTTTTTTCGGGGGGGTCCCACCTAGTGGTGCACAGACCCCCCTGGTTGGTTTTTTTTTTTTCGTTTTTTTTTTTGGCAAAAAAGCAGTTGTCCGATTTTCCGGACAACTCCCCCCTGACCGTCTCCCGGAGACGTCCGGGGGAGACGTCTCCCCATCGGACAGCTGGTAACATAGATATATTCTTCTTTTTTCTTTATTCTTTTTTCTTTTTTCTTTTTTCTTTTTCTTTTTTTAAGGCTAATTCTTTTAAGTCCAACAAATTAAATTACCTGTAAAATCTCTCTCTCTCTCTCTCTCTCTCTCTCTCTCTCTCTCTCTCTTTTTCTTTCTTTCTTTACCCGCCCCCCCGGGCAGTTTTGTGGATATTACCCAATTTACAACTTCCCGCCGCAAAAGTGGCCCGAAAGGTGGTTGGTAAAAAAGATAGGAAACTGAGAGTACAAGCATCTTTCCCGCCAGCGCCGCTCTCGATGGCGTGAAGAGTCCCAGCATGCCTCCTCCATTCTCCCAATTGTGCCGCTTCGTCTAAATACCCTAACGACATACTCACACTATCACTTTACCGAATGTATTTGACCGCAATTACGTCCAGACCTGGATACTCACGCCTGCATGCATCAGCCGAGAACGTCTTAGTGCGAGTAATGCCCTAAATCTACCATCTAGCCTCTTATAAGCCAATCATCCTTCAGGAGGTTAAAAAAACTAACACGGCTTCGCCGCACTACTCAACATTCGACATGTATCTGCTGATCGCTACATAGACCAGATACATTGGCACCGGTCCAACATTTCTCAATGCGTCTGGACCATTAGACATCCAGATACATTCAAAATATCATGCCATGAAGCGAGTACTCCAAAGCAAAGCGAAGTTCGAAGGAATCCCACCGAAGTGCGGTGCGACGATGGTTCGGAAAAGGGCAAAAAAAAAAAAAAAAAAAAAAAAAAAATCTTTACAAACCTACGCGGTTCAAAACGATTCCCACGAAGTGTCGAGTGACACGAGGGTTCGAATCTTCACAAACCTATTATATGAGTCGAACCCAAACAAAGAAGAAAAAGCAGGAGGAGAAATAAGAGGAGGCTGAGGAGGAGGAGGAGGAGGAGGAGAAGAGGAAGGGGTGGCAGGACAAGAAGGAGAGGAAGAGGACGCGGAGAAAAATGACACCATCTCTCTTGAGTTCTCAAGTGAGAAAAAGAAGAGATAGTAATTAGAAGAGAAGAAGAGGAAGAAGAAGAGGAGAAAGAGGAAGAAGAAGAGGAGAAAGAAGAAGAAGAAGAGGAGAAAGAGGACGAAGAGGAAGGAGAACGAGGAAGAAGAGGAAGGAGAACGAGGAAGAAGAGGAAGGAGGAGAGGGAGGACGAAGGGGAGGAGAGAGAGGAGGAGCGAACAATAGAACAAGGAAGAAGAGGAAGGAGAACGAGGAAGAAGAGGAAGGAGAACGAGGAAGAAGAGGAAGGAGGAGAGGGAGGAGGGAGAGGAGAAGCGAACAATGATCAATGCTCCTCACTAATTTATGACTCGACAACAAACAAGAAGAAAAAAGAGAAGAAGAAGAAAAAGGAGGAGAAGGAACAAACGATACGCCTGACTGATTTACGGAGAGGAAAGAGGTGAATAAGATAAAGGAGGCGGAGGAGGAAGGGAAAGAGGAGGATAACGTCGAAGACGAGAAGAAAAAGAAGAAAAAGGAGAAGGTGGTCCTCTCTTCGATTGTACCGAGGGATGCACTGGGGATGCAGAGAGAGAGGAGAGAGGGGAAAACCAGGAAGAGAGAGAGAGAGAGAGAAAAGAAAAGGAGGAGAGAAGAAACAAAAGTTAGTAAAAAGAGGAGAAAGATGAGCGCAAGGTACAGAATAAAGGAGAAAGAGGAGAGCAAGTGGGGAGAAAGATGCGAGACAGATGAGAGGAATTAAAAAGATGAGAGAAAGGGGAGAAAAGCAGTGAGAAAAGGAGGCAAAAGGGGGAGAGAAGCAGGGAGGTCTTAGATATGGGAGAAAAAAGCAGGGCGAAGAAAAAAAAGAAAAAGAGAGAGAGAGAGAGAGAGAGAGAGAGAGAGAGAGAGAGAGAGAGCATGTAGCCACCCACAAGGGGCAACGGGGGGGGGGGGGGGGGGGGGGGGGGGGGGGGGGGGGGGGGGTAGGATAGCAGTCTGCTCCTTCAGGGGAACAGCGAGGAGAGGGGGAGGGCCAAGGAACGCAGGCCGAGCCACCGGAGGGTGCAGAGACCCCCGATCCGTTTTCAGATGCTTTTAGCCCGGGGGATAAAGTAGGGAGACAGATGCGACACAGATAAGAGGAAATAAAAAGATGAGAGAAAGGGGAGAAAAGCAGTGGGAAAAGGAAGCAAAAAGGGAAGAGAAGCAGGGGGAGGTCTTAGGTATGGGAGGAAAAGGCAGGGCGCGGAGAAAACAGAGAGAACACAGAGAGAGACAGAGAGAACACAAAGAGAGAGAGAGAGAGAGAGAGAGCAGGCCCGCCACGAATCACCGCCTTGAGCGACCCGCAACCTTCTTCGGTTTGTACTCTGGGTCATCATCTTCATCACCATCGCTGTCCTCCTCGCCGGCTGTCTTCGTCTTCTTCTTCGAACCATCCGTACGACCTCCCTCTCCTCTGCTCCTCCCACCTTCCCCCCCTTTCTCCTTCTCCTTCTCCTTCTCCCCCTCTCCCTCTTCTTCTCCCTCGTCACTTTCCCCAGTTCCCCCTAGCGAGAGTCTCCTGACATCCATTTCTAGCGCCGCCACTGCCATTGCGCTGTTAAACTCGCCGTGCAGGGCTTTTACCACCCCTTCCTGTTTATGCACAAGGGGCCTGCCTTTCCAAGTCCCACCCCCATTTTTCGAAAACCTCTGCAGCACTCTCAACGGCCACACAACGACGGCTCTCCCCACCGCCGATATAACCCTACTCTCCACCACCCCCGGGGTGTCTCTCAGCAGCCCGTTCTCGCAGTCGAAGATGGCAGGGGTCATGGGTTCGTCGGTCCCGACGCCGATCTCGTCACGCACGACCTCAGACAGCTTGATCACCACGTAGGGGGTGTCCTTGATCTTCGTTCTGCCACGTGTCCAAAACTCTGACGTCAGAGGACCAAGCAACACGTGATACACCGCCGTACTCCACATCACCCACTCCCCATCGGCCGTGATATCGACTCCTGTCACCGGATCCGCTAGCTGATCGAAGGTGGCCTTGGCAATCTTTCGTACGTCATCGTATAATGACACTTTTCCCGCCACGTCACCCACGATGACGTGTCCATCACGTGACGTGGCAATGCAAGCGAACTCCCTCTTCGCGTACGACCTCCCTGTCCTCTCCTTCGCCGCCTTATCGCTGTGTTCGTCGTACACAGCGACCGTTCTCGACGGACATCTGGGGTCATAGACGGCGTGCAGCAAGCAGTTGCCTTTGTCGTTACCCACCCCGACAAGATCGACCAGGGGGGACGAATCTAGACCGCCGAATTTGTTCGTGATAGCGATTCGTCGGAGAGGAAGCTTAACCTCCTCTCCATTACGGTAAACGCTGAATTGATCAATGGTCTCTCCTCGCTCCACGTCGGCACGCACAATCGTGTGGTCCTGATCGGCCGTCGTGAACAGAGCGCGCCGACCGCCATCGTGCAAGACCATCTGCGAGGTGACGAAACTGCGCTCTTCGTTGTGGAATTGGACTGGAGTCGAACACCTCGTCACATCGCCTGAAGACTCTTGCACGCTCAGCCACGTCATCCCATCATCCTCGGCCGCCAAGATAGCGCGATTACTACCGGTCAAGTCCAGAGCTTTGTTCCTAGGTGTCATCGGTTTCCCTCGTGTCCGATAAGGAGACTTCAGCGGCGACTCCATCTCTCTCTCTCTCTCTCTCTCTCTCTCTCTCTCTCTCTCTCTNCACACACACACACACACACACACACACACACACACACACACACACACACATACAAAACACCACACACACACGCGGACGAATATAGATGAAAAGGAGGAAGACGAGAGGAGAAAATGTCGTGATTCAAATGGCGATGGATCGAGCTAGCAAGAGTATGCCACGTGGAGCTCTCGCAGACGACGTGAAGGACGATCGATGCAATAGCCGCTTGCTGTTGAGTTATCTCGAAGTTGGTGTCCCTGGGCGATTCATGATCCGTCTCCAGCGCTCCTGCACGCCACGTGTCTTGATGACTGTGCTATTGATTGAGGATCAAGATGGCCCTTAATGAACTACAGCTGAAAGTCAATCAAGCGTATATCAAGCATGCTGATTGATCAACTGATTGATTGATTGATTGAGGTCGGAATACGGGCGGGCGGCAGAAGTCATGTGACCGTTAATTGAACCCGCAAGCCTTAATTACTAGTAATTGCCAGTGCAGCTTGAGAGAAAACAATCAATAAAAACAATGCCACGTAGCGTGCGCGGACAACAACTGATCACCGAGTCCCCATTCCCAATAACGGTCCCCAATAACGGGCCTCGCTGCACTACTCTCGAAATGTGCAAAATGAGAGTGAATCTTCGGCTAGAATATGGAAAGGTACACCGGCAATATTTTTTTTTAGTCTTTTGTGCATGTCGAGAGTAGTGCAGCGAGGCCCAACATGTGTCCTGGCGATGGGCCTCCGTCCACTACCCACCACAGGGCACAAAAAAGACAAAGTTACAAAACAAAATGGCGTTGTATCTTTTTTTTTTTTTTTTTTTTTGAGCGTTGTATCTTTTCATTTTACAGGGGAAGATTCATTCTCCACAGGGCACAAAAAGACAAAAGTTACAAAACAATATGGCGTTGTATGTTTTCATGTTACACGGGAAGATTCATTCTCAGGGCATCGCCACACCACTGCCGAAAAATGTGCAAAAATGTGAATGAACTTCCGTGTAGAAGATGGGCAGATGCACCCGCCACATTTTTGTCTTTTCCACATTTCGACCGGTGTGGCGAGGCCCTCATTTTGCACAGATTCGTTCTCATTTTGCACATTCGGAGAGTGGTGGAGTGAGGACCCAGTGCGTAGTTCTCCATTGTTTCCTACCTACCAGTAGGGTAGAGATGCGGGGACTCTTTTCGACGTATCTAAACCAAAATCGTGACTGCATTCTGTCATAAACGACCTGCTGAAGAGAGTACGCCCTCACAGTGGAGACGTCGGACTTTTTTTTTTTTTTTTTTTTTTTTTTTTTTTTTTTCACAACGTCGGACTTTATGTGGAACGAATAGATCCAGCGGCCTAGCTCAGTTGGTAAGGCACGCAAGTGGCATTCAGGAGGTCTTGGGTTCAATCCCTATTGGCCTCATGTACCTTCCTGGGCATGCTTGACACCCGCCACCTAGAGATAGCCCGTCCCTCAGTTGGTAAGGCACGCAAGTCTCTGCTGATGTTCATAGGGGGAGGGGTAATTGGGGAGGCACAGCGACTGGCCACTCAGATGATGCTCGGTCCCTCTGCTACCGGCTGTCCCCTGGCCGGTGTCCCCCGTTGGGGGTTCCCTGAAGGCAATCAAGGCCACCCTGGGCTGAAAAGGTCACCCGATGTCAGATTAGACACAATATTGAATTTACCGGGGCTGGTTAGTCCGATGATAATACCTCAAGGCCATAGCCCTTTTATATATATATATATATATATATATATATATATATATATATATATATATATATCGTCACAAACATGGAACGAATAGGTGGCGGCAAGATACATCCAGGGGGCTCAGTTGCCCAAGTCTTTACAACGTTCGCATCTAGCTTGGCACCCCCAGGGGTCATCAGCTTCTCGTACCCGCTCTCCAGGCCGAGGCGCACCCCTGCAGCTATGCCTCGCTCCACTAACCTCGACATGCATAAAAGACAAAAATCATGGCGGTGTATCTTTCCATGCTCTAGTGGTACATTCACACTCGTTTTGCACATTTCGAGAGTAGTGCAGCGAGGCCCAATGACACCAATCCTACCGGTAGCTATTCCACTCAGGCACTAAGGGTCTCGCTCCACTACTCTAGACTCTCGAAGATTTTCCAGAGTGAGTCTAGAGCTGTCAGACTCTAGAAACGACTGAAAAAGAGAACATCGCTCCACTTACTTTAGAAGGTCAAACTCAAGAAGGCCTCTCGGATGTCAGACCGCTCTTTGAGAGAGCTACACGACACGGCCAACAAGTTGTTGTCCGCCCAAGACTCCAGGTGCACCCCAAAAAAATGCTCAACTTTCGAAGGTCCTGGATGCTTCCCTTGAAATTCACGCCGCTACAGGCGGGAGCTCTCCAAACGTCAAGAGTGTCATGGGAGAGGAGGTTCTGACAACTCAAGAAATGCATTTTCGTGAGTGTGTTTCATGAGGTAGTGGAGCGACGACGGAGTCTCTCCATTTTCGTTAGTAGATACGGACAGCTCAAGAACCCGAATTCCAGACCTGGCGTATAGAGTAAGTGGAGCGGTGCCGCACTCAAGAAATGGCCGGTTTCTAGAGTAGTGGAGCGAGACCCTAAGGGTCTTAGGGTCTCGCCGCACGGCTCACGAAACGAAAACGAAACGAGTGCATCTGCTCACGAAAGGTGGCAAAATACACTGGTTACTATTTATAGCAAAACGATGAACCTGGCCATTTTCGGCAGGAAGATGTACTAGTTTCGTTTCTCGTTTCGTATCCCGTGCGGCGATGCCCTAAATCTCCTCGTGGGGGCTAAAAAAAATCAACAAACTGGGGGTCCCGGGTTCGGGCCCCGCCAGTGTAACTGGTGATCTTTTCTTCTCGTAATAGGAACCGGTACTAGGCCTGGATCCCGCTGGTTTTGGACCAACGGGACCAAGGCTTTTTTTTTTTTTTTTTTTTTTTTTTTTTTTTTTTAAATCATCATTCATTTCATTTCAAAATATCAAAGAGGTCGGGGACCTCACAATTCAACCCGGAGTTATCCCGGCAGCCTCAGCTGGTTTAGCTTATGGAAACAAATTCTTGATTCTACAAACACTACTTTTAGGTCAATCTGCAAAATCATTGGGAAAATCCTACTTCGTTGCCCATAACGTCTGCAAACTCTACTAGCCCTATTACCTCTATCCTACCACTAACCTAAAAGAAAAAAAGACCTACTTTTTGGTCCCGCCTGACCCGGCCTATAGCGTCCGGGAGAAACCCAAGTTCCATTCATTGTAACCTGACCCTCTCCAACCAGCCATCCAACTGTGGTCTACTGTGGCCACCCACTGGAACCGAGTGTCCTGGTTCAGAACCCACAAATCCTCTAGGTCTACTATGTCCGCACGCTGGAAGCAGTCAGTGTCTGTCCAACACTAATCTATCCTACTGTCCCGACAGCCAAGGGGAAATGCAGAGCTTGCCCTCCAAGGTGATGGCAACCAACTGATTGTCCCGGGCCCATGTAACCAGAAACCAGTGGCGTCCTCCTGGCGTAATGCCTTTCTTCGCCCGCCTGGTCCATTCCATCCTGATCATAATCCGTATCCAGTATTTGATCTTTTGGATGATTACTGCGTCATTGGACCACTATTGCCGAAAGAGGACATTGTTCCTGTCCTCCCAAATCACCCAGACGATCACTGAACGGATCGCCTGGGCCACATAACCCCGGTCTGTGTATTTGAACCAGGAGGGTGGAAGGCGGCCAGTATGGCCCAAACTTCATCCCATTGCAGGAGAGGCCCCACAAATCGATACCAATGGCGACTCCACCATTCCCATATGCGTCTGGAGGCAGGACAACCCCATATGAGGTGGTAGAGAGTTTCTTATGAACAACAGCCACAACGTCTACACTTAGTTTCCAAGTCCATACCTTTCTCAAACAACCAGACTGCACACGGGAGCACTGAGTGAGAGATCATCCAAAGCAAACCAGAGAACTTTCGCGAGGAGAAAGCTGGTAGCTGATCCCACAGGGTTGTCAGATCTCTGTCCAAGATGAGCGGTTGAGCTGGCGTAATACGGTTGAGGGCACATGCGGCTCCTTGTGCCAGTCCAGTGTGTTGACTCAGTTATTGTCTGCCCACTTTAGAGGAGTATTGGAAGAGTTGCAGATTTGGCCTAGAACTTGACTGTTTCCACTGTCGACTGACTCGGTAAATCCTCATTTGTAGTACTGGTTGCCCCTACATGAGCAGTTTGTGAGTGGGGGGTGATCTCTCAATCGGGTGTGGACCCGAACCAAGGCAAGTGTAGTAGTAGAAGTGATGGCAATCTCTTTTTGGAGCTGAAGTATCTCTCCATCCCTGCCTGGGTCCCCTACTCTCCATTCTTGTGCTAGCCAGAGATCGTCGTTCAATTGGTCTATAATTTGAATCATTGTCCTTCTTCCTGGCATTTGTGAATCGATGTACCGTTCTCCTTCTTCCAGGTCCGAGGACCAGAGGAGCCGTTGCCAACGAGTTAGGATGACTTTTGTCCCTGACTCTTTGCATATGTCTGAGTTTGCCCTGAAGCCTCACTGCAGGTGTCCAAGACTTGGTATCTTTCTGCCAGATATCTGAGATGGTTGTCACTCCTCGTTCGACCCACCTCCTGCCAAAGTTCCCCGGTGTTGCTATAGCTGCAAACTGTTGTCCCTGTTGGTTCAGGATAGCTGGATTATCGAACAGGGGCTGACGCACTACTTCTTCCTTTGTCACGGGCTCTTTAGTCACTTGTGGTTGTATTGCTCTCTAGGCTGTCCAGCAGGCTGCTCCCAGCGACGACCGAGGTTGCCTGCGGGAGAAGGAGGTCATGAATACGCAGTGCCAAAGATCCTCATTCCTTGTCAGTGAAAACTCCCGTTGTAGAATGTATTCCAAAATTACTAACCAGACCCTTCTCTCCACTTGTGTGACCGCCTTCAGAAGCCATTTGCCCAGCAAGGTCAGGTTCTGGGTTGTGAGGTCGATAATACCCAATCCTCCATTTGCCTTGGATGTTGTAACCCTTGTTCCACGAACATTTGTTGATGTAGCCTCCCCCCTGTGACTCAGCCGGTTTCCAGAGGTACCGGGCCGCTTCTGTAATGATGAGCCGTGTGATTGGTTTGGAAATTAGAAAGACTGCCGCCACAAACCATAGTTGGGTGAAAACCACCGAGGTTATGAGGATCGCTCGCCCTAGTAATGAGATACCAATGGTCATGCGACATCTCAATATAGCAGATTGAGTTTTGGCTCATAGGATCAGAGCTTGGTTGGCGTGGGCATCTGAAAGGGATACCTGCAACCCCAAATATCTCTCTGAGAGGTTAGCGAGTATCCTCTTCATACCCCAGTCCCCTCCCTCTAGACTGTAGTCTGCTGATAGGAAGTAGGGTGACTTATTCCAATAAACTTGCGCTTCATAGAGAAGGGAGTAGGAGTTCAAGATGCGTTTGGCTTCCAACATTGATTGTAGCGTTGCTTCCATGACAAGCAGCAAGTCGTTTGCGATTGCCCC